CAGGGACTCCAGGATCATGACCTGAACCGAAGGCAGTCGCCCAACCAACTGAGCCACCCAGGCGCCCTCTTTTTTTTTTTTTTTTTTTTAAGACATCTTTACACCCAACATGGGGCTTGAACTCACAACCCTGAGATCAAGAGCTGAATGCTCCACCGACTAAGCCAGCCAGGCGCCCCTAGTTTTTAAATCTTATAACCTTTTTTATTCACTTCTCATCAGAAAAGCACAAACTGTTTGGGTTCCTTAATTTTTTACTATAATACGAGATCAAAGAAAAGACATCAACAAAAAACCCTACCAAATGTTTTTCTGACGAATCTTCCTCCATTCCTACAGGTCTCCAAGTCAGCAAACTGAAGGGAATGCAAGAGAAGGAAAATGATCCATGTGAAAGGCAAACTGGAGTCTTAATATGTCTACTGAGCACAGAAATAAACAGCAATAAGCACATTCACACTCACACGTGTGGGATGGTTGTTTTGAAGATATCCAGCATACAACTGCATGTCTCATCCCAGACGTCGGGACTGAATTTCTCCCCGTTGGATATTACTAAGTTTTCTAAGCAATTGGTACCTGACCGAGCCAACTGCTCATTGTCTGCAAAATAAAGCAACATATATCATGAAATTTCCACTGCTGTTTTGATTCCCATCAGGGCACTGATGCTTCGTATTGCAAGGTGGAGACGACACGATGGGGGGCTCTGCAGGCTCTTATTGAAGGAAGCAACGATACAGCCAGTATTAAAACTTTTACTGTTTAAGTAGGCTATAAAGAGATAAAATTATTTATCACAGCTTTATTGCTAGGGATGGAAGGAGGTCAGTTTGCTACTTAATTAACTGACTTCTTATACGATGTATTAGTAAAGGATGGAAATATTAGACCAGTGTTTCTCCCCTGAACACTGCCATACCAGTATCGACTGTTTTACCATTTATTTTAAAACAGAGTCACTTTTTGAAAAAACCCATTGAAGCTTTGTCTTAAGCCAAAACTATCTATGGAATCCAGGTCAAATGTGCTACATGGGCATTTTTCCTAGCACGCACTACCTCTACACATAAGTACTCAAATGAACAATGTTCACTGATGAAGCTGTTAATACTGACCCCATTTTAAAAACATTACAGAAAACTTCAAATATAGACAGAAGTAGAAAAAAACAGCATAATATACAAAGGCAAATCTTTAAAAATATAGTAATAATTACATCCCTTCTTTAAGAAATGCCTTATAAACTGGCTTGAGGAGTTTTGTTTTTTTTTAAGATTTTGTTTATTTGACAGAGAGACACAGCGGGAGAGGGAACACAAGCAGGGGGAGGGGGAGAGGGAGAAGCGGGCTTCCCGTGGAGCAGGGAGCCCAATGTGGGGCTCGATCCCAGGACCCTGGGATCATGACCTGAGCCAAAGGCAGAGACTTAAGGACTGAGCCACCCACGCGCCCCGAGGAGATTGTTTTGATACTCTAAGTAAAAATACACATTTTCACCAGTTATATATCATACTCCTTCGCATTACATTCTTGCTTTTACATATTGAAAAATTAATCTCTCAGTAAAAACTAAGTCAAGAAGAATGACACCCAGAGGCATAGCGAGTACCTTGTTTTACACACCACTGCAGCTGTGCAAACACATCAGACAGAAGCACTTCATTCAGAGCTTCATAAAACTGGGTGAACACATCACAAATGGCATAGAGTGCGTGATTGCAAGTTGTTGTCATCCACTCGGATTTCTGGAAAAACAAAATGATAATGCTGAGAGGCCACTCTCCTTGTGGGGAGATGGCACTCTCCTGCATCATGGGCAAAACTGTTCTGGTGTGAAATCTGGCAGTATGTGTCAAGAGCCTTTTCAATGCTCACACCCACGGACGCAGGAACACGGCTGGCAGGAATGGACCCTAAGGAAAGAATCACAGATCTGAGGGTGAAGGTCTATGAATAAGGAGGTTTACACCACACTGGCACTTACACACTGAAAACACAGATACAAATACCCAGCAAGGCGGCAACTAAATTAAGTGCATCTATATGACAAAAAGAGTCCCATGCTCTATGGACTGAGCCAGCCATGTGACCTGGTATTTCATTTTTGTAAAAAGAAAACACACAAGCAGTATGTGAAGGGGTTAATAGTGGTTGCCTGTGGAAGCTGTGGCTTTCAAATGTTTTGTTTTTCTGTCTTCTGATTTTCTTTTTTAAAGATTTATTTATTTATTTTTGAGAGAGAGAGGGAGAGAGAATCCCAAGCAGACTCTGTGCTGAGCACGGAGTCTGACTCACAGCTCCATCTCATGACCCTGAGATCGTGACCTGAGCCAAAATCAAAGTCAGATGCTCAACTGACTGAGCCACCCAGGTGCCCCTCTGATTTGTTTTATAATGAAGAAAATTTTAAGTTACTTTAAAATACAATTAGCAGACTGAATCTAAGACTGTGACTTCAACCATATTTTAACCAGGCAGAAGATGGAGGGAAATTTGCCAAAACATTAACTCTAATTTCTGAATGGTAAAATTATGAGTTTTCTGTATATTCTTAACATTCCATATTAAACTTATGCTGCTTTTATACCAGGGGGGGTAGATAATGATATTCCTAAAAGTAGGTAAAAAAGTGACTCTCTCTAAAAATCTTGATAAAGAATATCCTCTCCCCTTTCCTCTATCCCTAGGGAAGAAATAACAAAGATAACCAGAGGCATCAAACTTCCTTAAGAAAAAAAAAAGGCCTAATATTTGCCAATGTCATCTCCAACTGTAACTTCATTAAAAATTTTTATGATTTTATTTATTTATTTGAGAGAGAGAGTGCTCATGGGGCAGGGAGGAGCAAAGGGGGAGGGAGAGAGAGGGGAAAGAATCCCAAGCAGATTCTTTGATGAATGCAGAGCCCGATGCAGGGACAAAACCAAGAATCGGATGCTTAAAGAACTGAGCCACCCAGGCACCCCAAAACTTTTTTTTAAAGATTTTACTTTTAAGTAATCTCTACACCCAACATGGAGCTCGAACTCACAACCCCGACATCAAGAGTCACACACTCTACCAACTGAGCCAGCCAGGTGCCCGTAAAAATGCTTTTAATGAGTTTTTTTTTAGGGACCAGAGACATTCCATTTTTTTACTGACTGCTGAGAAGCTGGTATAAACCAAGTAACTGAGAGGAGCAGGTGCCCTGTTGAACTGGCAGGTACAATGCCCAAGGGCAAAGCGGGTGGGCCATGGTGACTTATTTCCTCTCGCCCTTCCCCAAATGGGGACAGTTTCTTAGCACTAGTTGATTCTGGTATAAGAGTGCTTGGAAGGGGGTTTCCATTAAAAAAATTTTTTTTAGAGATTTTATTTATTTGAGAGAGAGCGAGCACAAGCAGGGGGAGTGGGAGAGGGAC